TCTCAAAAAAAAAAAAAAAAAGTAAATAATAAACACCCAAGCTAGAGATAACGATTGATAGCAGACCTGGGGTTTCAATCCGAATTTATCTCCTCCTTCAACAGAAGCAGCGTGTAAAAAAAAAAAAAGCAGGAACAAGCCCAGGAAACCAACGGTGGCGTCGGCCAAAGTCTTCGCTGCCCCTCTCTTCGAGACGATTCACGAAAAAAAAGTGGCTTTTCTAGAAGCTCAAGCGAAACATGCCAGAACCTTCTGAGACGCACACACAGGTTTTCCTGGCTGTCCAGGAAAACAGCCGGCTAGGCAGCAAGATCGAGGCCAGGAGGCCAGCGGCCAGGTGTCGCCGAGCGCGTACCTGCTTGAGCGCGTTCCGCGCGATCGTCTGGAACGCCTGCTCCACGTTGATGGCCTCCTTGGCGCTGGTCTCGAAGTAGGGAATGTTGTTTTTGCTGTAGCACCAGGCCTGCGCCCGCTTTGTGGCCACCTGGAAGAAGCAGCGCAAGCGAGTGCTCACGGTGGCAACAGCTGGCCCAGACTCCGTCCTCCCCGTGAAGGATGGAGGCCCCCGGCCTGGGGGGGCACGGCTGGGGAAACCGAGTTGGGGAACAGGGACGTGGGGGAGACCCGCAGACCTCGGGGCAACCGGGACGCGATCGCAAAGCCCGTCTCCGTGCACCACCCCTGGGCCCCAACCTCTGGCTATACTCAGAGCCGTTTGTGAAGGGAGTGAGGAGCCAGGCCCAGGAAGAAATCAAGTGCCTCTCTTGGCCCGCGGAGGAGAACGCCCGGCAGCCTGGCCGTGCAGCCTGCCGACGCTCCCCCACTGCCGCTAACGTGACATCCATCACCCGGGCCGCGCCCTCCAGTGCGTGGGGACCCGCGGCTGCCACCGACACCCTCGCCACTCCCGTGCATCCTCGTTCCCTTCCCGACCCCTCACCCGGACTGCAGACACACGCCAAGGTCGATATCGCTTAGGAGGGGGAGAAAAAGAGATTGACGGTCAGAGAGAACCGCGGACGTGATTAACGAGAGAGTCTTCGTCTCTAACCGAGACGCTACCGGAAAACTCAGAGCCCAGAGCAGACTCCGCACACCTGAGAGCCAGGCAGGCTCTGGGCTCTGCCGGGGACAGCAGAGCGGCCGCAACGGCCAAACTTAGTTCTCGCCTTTCTATACGGAAGGAGAACTGAGCTTCAGAGAGCAAACGTGACGGCCCGAAGTCACGGCCGGGTGGGACGCCACGGGGACTTAAACCAGGTCGCCGAGGCCCTGGTCCTCAAAGGCTGCTCCAGGGTACCAAACGCCCCCCACCCCCCGCCAGACCCTTCCAGACCTTCCAGAACCTTCCAGAACCTTCCAGAAGTTCCAGGCAGGGAACCCCGCGAATTCACACCCGAGGGGCAGGTGCCGGGGGCGGCTCCTACCGCCGTTGGCACTTACTTGTCTGTTTTCGAGGTCGATCTTGTTTCCCAGCACGACAAAGGGGAAGTTCTCGGGGTCCCGCGGACTGGCCTGGATGAGGAACTCGTCTCTCCAGCTGTCCAGCGTCTTGAACGTGTTGGGCGCGGTGACGTCGAACACCAGCACGCAGCAGTCGGCGCCTCTGTAGAAGGCCACGCCGAGGGACTGGAACCGCTCCTGTCCCGCTGTGTCCCAGATCTGCGACAGACAAGACGTTTTATTCCTCGGAGGATGCTGGGCGGGACAGCAGGGCTTGGGAGTGGGAGAGAGAGACAGAGACACACAGAGAGAGACAAAGACAGAGACACAGAGAGAGAGACACACAGAGAGAGAGTCTGTGTGTGTGTGTTGGGGGGAACGGCGGGACTGCAGGGCCACCCACAAAGACAAGTGACTTCAAAATCCACGAAGCAGATTGGAGCCCCAGAACCTCCAAAACAACAGGGACGAATAGTGTCGTGTGTGTCTATGAGCGGGTGACATTGAGTCCAATCTGTGGGGTGCTGGAAATTTTTTATATCTTGATCCAGGTAGTGGTCACATGGGTAGGTACGTATGTAAAACGCAAGCCGTAAATTTAAGATT